AACTCCAATTAAACTTTAAAACTTTGGAACACATTCCAAGAAAATTCTTAAATTCTCAAAACTTCAGTTTCTGGCATCAGAGGCATCAGGGTACTGAAAAGTTTGTGATAAAATAGTAACATTTTCATAAATTTATGGGTGTTCCTAACTTTCAGGCTAATTTAACAACTATAGTCTAATGTTGGTAACCTTGGGGAAAAATTATAAATACCTCTAATTCTTCATTATTATCTTCTCCTCTTTCATATCCTCCAAGTACTTGCATTTCTGCAATATTTCTTCGACCTACATTTGCTTGTTCTCTTTGTCTGCTTCCTGATCCTCTTGACGACATTGAGCTTGAGGAACTGGGATCTCTGGGATTATTTGATGTTGGAAAAGTAGGTCTACAGTAAGGTAGAATATCCTCTGTGTAATGAAATATAATGAAAACATGTGAACACCATCGTACGCTTTCACTGTAGAGAAGCATCACTCAGGTCTAACTATAATTCTGAATAAGGAAGCATCAGTGATTCTGAGGTATAAATAAAGACACTTTATGAGCATAATGAAAAATGCAGCACTGTCTTTTGAAAATGAAAATTACAAGCCTTATTGTTTTCCTAGGAGTAGACAGGGTTCCTTTTGTCCATCTCAAACCTACTTGAGACCGATATCACTTAAGGAGGTAAACCAAACCTGGTGTCAGACTTGGCTTCCAATTCTGTTATTCACAATAGGATCTCAGATTATTTTAGACTTTAGTTTCCACTTTTCCAAAAAAGTGATAATAGTACCTATATCTAGAGGAGCTCTTAGTGGTGATATGAAAACAGCTGAGATAGCAAAATTTCTAAGTAACCTATACAGTGTTATTGTAAGGAATTAGTAGAAACCATGCCCAGACTCCTAGAACTACCAAAACAGAGCCAACTCTTGAGTTTAATCCGCAGACATAAAAAAAAAAAAAAATCAACCTCCATTTCTACATCCTATTTATATTGTGGAACTTCGAATCTTAGAAGTCTACCATTATTGCTAATTTCAAAAAAATAAGCCATTCCAGTCAATTGCTGTCTCCTGAATTTCTCCCTGTATATTGCTTTAAATTTGGTGCTACTTCTACTGATGAATCATCAAACTGATCACTTCTTTCCAAAGTCTGTCCACTCTGCTCTTTGGATACCAAACACATGAAAAACTAACTCTTTGACATGCTTTTTTCCACCTCCCCCAAATGCTTCCTCTACTATCTACGTTGCCTGAATGAAAACTGATTTCCCCTGAAATTCCCACTGATGTTCTCTCCAGTGGAAGGGTGAGGAGGAAGGCTTGGCTCTAGCCCACCATCACAGTTCTAAATCATTGCTCCTCCATCCTTGCACATTCTCCTCCATGAGGCCCAGGTCATCTTTAAAAAGCTGGTAAAGTCCTTGATGGCACCTTGTTTTTTTCATCAAACTCATCCCAACTTTCACCTACAACCCATAGGAGCTTCACAGTCCAGGAGCATAACTGCTCCTATAACCTCTCTTCACAGCACTAGATCTCCTGTGACCATCATCTTCTGTCTCTGTTTCATCAACTTTTTTCTCTCTACTGACTTTTGTTTTGTCAAATGAAAATATGATAAAATCTCTCTAAAAACTCTTCCCTTAAGCCTGTGCTCTAACCAATCAATACCTTTGCTCTCTCCTCACTACTCAGCAATGCCTCTTGAGAAGCAATTTAGATTCAATATTGGTAGTCACAATTTCCATTTATTCTGTATCCCACTGAAATCTATTTATGCTCACATTACTACTGTGAAACTAAAAAAATTGGTAATGCTAACCATGTTTCCATCCTTATGCCTCTGGACTTCTCACTGCCTTTAATCAACTTAAACATTTTTATTTTCTTAGCTTCTAGTTCTCCTTCCTCCCTGGCCAATTTCTGTGAATTCTTTTTTATGATGCAAGTGCCTTTTGCATGTTGATGATCTACAGGTTTCTATTTTCAGTCC